CAAAGAAATTTTTTTTTTTTTGTGTGGCTGTGTTATCTATCTTATTTTTATAAATTATATTTATTTTTTGTAGATTGGACCTATACCTGCAATGCCATCTGGACAATTACCTGGTTCTTTGTGGGATTTGCATGCTAAAGATATAAAAACCGAGCAGCAGATACTCGTAAATCGATTTTTTTTCTATAATTTTTTTCCCGTCTTCTTTTTCGTAAAACATTAAATACGAAATAATATTCTCTTCTTTCAGGAAGAGCAGAAGCTTAAATTGCAAGAAGATAGGAAAAAGGAGGAGTTAAGGAAGCAAGAAGAATTGCAACGTCAAGTTGAAGAAGAAAATGCTTTGAGAAAGCAAAAAGAAGAACAAGCTAGACAAGTTGAGGAAGCGAAGCGTAAAGATGAGGAAAGAAAAAGAAAGGAGGAAGAGAAGAAACGAAAAGAAGAAGAGAAGCGTAAACAAGAGGAAGAACTAAAGAAAAAAGAAGAAAAGAAACGCAAAGAGGAGGAGAAGAAGCGTGAAGAAAAGAGGAAGCAAGAAGAGGAGAATTTGAAGAAAAGGTTAGAAGAAGAAAAGAGAAAGCGGGAAGAGCTTAAAAAATTCGAAGAAAAGCAGAAAAAGGAAGAGGAAAGGAGAAGAAAGTTAGAAGAAGAACAAAGAAAACAAGAGGAAGAAAGAATCAGGTAGATATGTCGGTATTACACAAAATATCCCAGTCAAAAAAGTGAAATATTTTCAAGCCAAAGGTGTTTGCAATGTGATTGTGAAATTTACAGGAAGGAGGCAGAGGCGCGACGACAAGCGGAAGCGGAAGAACAGGCACGTCGCGCCGAGCAACGGCGTAGAGAAGCTGAAGCGTTGCGCAAGCTTCAGGAGAGAAACAAGGCTCCGTGGGCTCAAGCTCCGCGTACACTGGCCCCCGCTACTCATACAGCTTCGCTAGCTGAGATTCAAAAACTTGAGAGAGAGAAGAAAGTGGTGAGGAAGTCACTGATGTTTGTCACGTGTCTACGCACACGCATCTGCGCACGCATCTACATTTGATTTTAACTTACAGGAGGAATTGCGGATTCAACAGTTGATGCAACAACAATTGGCACAGCAAAAGGCAATAGAAACCGCGCAAGAATTGTCAGTTGCGGACTCGTCTAAGCGATTACAGTTCAAATGGGCAGAGAAAGCTCTTGCTTCGAATAAAGTTCTCCAAGTGAAAAGTCTCGCACAAATTCAACAGGAGGAACAGGAACGCATCGTTAAGGTAAAGGTACTTATTGCTTCTTGCGTAATGTGAGTGATTGTGAAACAATTTATTTCGGGAAGATAAAGAAATCGAAATATCTCAGCAACAGGAAAGGGAACGGCAGGAAAAAGCCGGCCAGAAAGAATCGGCGAGTGTGCTGCAGAACGCTGGAATATGGGGCACGGCGTCGCAGTGTCTGAGTTGGGCGAATTCAGGCACGTCGAGCAGCAGCCAGGCATGGTCCAGCGCAGCCGGTACAACTGGTTTCTGGGACGATCCCACTCCTGTTAGATTATCTGCGGCTGCAAAACAGTCGACTAAACAGTCGACTGCAACTATTAAATCTGTTCCCAGCCAACAACAGCAATCGCAGCAGAATATTAACAATAATAATAATAAGGCGTCTAAGAGTAAGAATAAGAGAGAAGAAGAGTTAGTAAAAAAATTATTTGAACAGAACACTGCCAAAACCGACGAGTTTACACAATGGTGTAATAAAGCATTGAGTGGTATTCAGGCGTCTGTGGACAGTAAGTGTTTTGCATAAAAAAGTTTTCTCGCGTCTTTCGACTTTTTTTTGTATACAATACGTTTATCTATTCGCAGTCCCTACATTCGTTGGATTCTTGCGAGATATTGAATCGGCATATGAGGTCAAAGAGTATGTCCGCGTTTATCTTGGTGATACTAAACAGAGCCAAGAATTCGCCAAACAGTTCCTGGAGAAACGAAGCAAATGGCGATCGGCGCAACGTCCTCAGGCGCAAGCGGACGACTTATGCAAACCAGCACCGGCTGTCAATCCAAATGCTCCTGCAGAATTTCAAGAAGTGAAGGTATAGTATATATATATATATATATAAGCATAAAAAAGCTTGAACAGAATAATAAATAATAATAAAATATCTTTTTTTTTTTGTGCAGGGAAAGTCCAAAAAACCAAAGAAAGGAAAGATGTTTAAAGTTGACAACAGGATTCTTGGTTTCAGCGTAACCGCGGCTCCCGATCGTATTAACGTAGGCGACCGCGATTACGGCGAAGGTGTTTGAACAGTTTCAATTTACCTCACGGAAATAAAGCAACGCTCAATCAACGAACGGTTCATTATTTATTTATTGTGCATGCCAAACACTGCGCTGATGATAGATCCATCGCTGGGGTACTTTCTTAAGTGTATAAAGACTTTACAGTTCGAAACACGAAAGAAAGACCTCATATCTCTTCAACGTTGAGTATTGATGGCAGTCTTCGTTTATGGGACCGGCTGAGCGTAGCGTTATTTTCTTATACAAAGAAAAAACTCCATTGTATATACATTACTCAAAGAAGAAACATTTCGCAAGAAAGAAGACGGACTTACTTTTTCCTATGTATGCAGAAACTGCGAGATGAAAACTTTTATAACATTTCATTGTCATTTTCATCATCATTTTAAAATAAACGAAAGAAAAAAAAACTAAACAGGAAATAAAAAATAAAAAAAAATAAAAAATAAATAAATAAAATAAAATAAAAATAAAAACGTGAATGCCAACTGATAATAATCGTGCATACGGAAATGTGGCAGTCAATAGCAATATGTGTATGTGAAGGTGTTCAACGAAGTACCATTGAAATGTGCTTGAGAGATCGAAAAAAAAATCCATTATTTTCCGCGTCAAGTACTGAGTGCGGTGCGTCGGTATTTGTTCTTATTGAATCCTATGGATTTTCGCTTTATCACAAACACACGTGAGGAATGTTAGTAGATTTTCCATATAATTTAATGTGCATTTTCAAGCACAAGAATATTTCCTCTCTTTCTATCTTTCTCTCTCTCTCTCTCTCCATCTTTTAGTACGTACTTTCCCGCCGTTATGTAATACAGTAATAACAATATTCTAATCCAAATTTTTAAGCACATATAGAAGTAATAAATTTGATTAATTCTGAATAAGTTACGCGTATGCAAAGAGAATGTAAGGGAGAGAGGAGACTAACGCGGAATATAAACTTTATTACGACTTTCGGACACTCATTTCAGTCGCAATGAATTATGACGTCAGAGATAGAAAATCATGAATTTTTGTCTTGCAACTCGAAATGAATGAGTTTTTTTGTAAGCTAAAATTAAAAATATAAATTGGTAAAATCTCACGAAAAAAACTGGTTTTTCTTTCTTAGAACTGGTCTCACTATCTTTGATTCAGCTAGTCAGCTGATCAAGTGTCAGTCGTGATTATTCATTTCACTTTTGTTACAACTAACACGATTGGTCAATTTCAATCGGAATAATCGGCCGCTTAAATTAATCGGAGATTGTGAGACTCGACCTCTTATCTTCTGACATCATAATTTAACGTGCTTGAATTGAAGTAACTTTATGCTTGGGAACAATAGACAGACGGTAATAATTAATAACACATTTTTCTGAAGACAATTATTGAAAAAGAAAATTATTTAAAATGACCCGGCACAACGCATTCTCTTTATTTGGACAACTTTTGTTTCACGGTAGAAACGATAATATAGCAAAAAACACACAAATTTAAGATACTATTCAAAAATGTGTATTTTTTACTATTCCACAAAACATCGCCGAAATTCTTTATTGACTATATTACATAATTGCTTCTTGTACACCGATTCGACACAAGATACAGAGAATTGATACAAAAAATTTATAAAAAAATTAAAAAAAAAAATGGCATCTTTTAAGTTTGTATGTTTTGTAAAGTTTTATTTGATATAACACACTCTTTGAAGATTTATAATTAAATAATTATAAGTATATATTTTTTTAGTAATTTAAAAAAAAATATTCCGGTTTTGTTCTTTTTTTTCTACACTTGGATTGATGACACATTGACGGAATATAAGCGTCCTTGAGAGTAAATGTTAACATGTCTGACTACCCGTGATATTGTAATGATTGTTGCCTAAGGTTCGTTGATCTTATCTTAATAATTCAAGAAGTAGGAGAAGATCATAGATCCTTATATAAAAGATTTATAACTAGAGATTAATGTACAGAATAATTACAAACCAGATTAATACTAAAGAGCCGATGATTGATATTGTATCAATATATCATTATTGTATCTAACGTACAACATAAGGAAATAAATATTATTATATATTTTCAAGTTAGCTTTCTTATTGTGTTTTGTAAATTTAGTTTTATTATGTATATTAAAAACTCGAATGTTTTAATATTACAAGCGCCATTATATATATATATATATACATATATACATCTATATATATATATATATATGCATATATGTGTGTGTATATGTATATATATATATACACACATATATATATGACTATATATATATATATATATGACAATAAAAGATATTTAGTTGAAAGTATGAATGTAAC